TCGGAAGAGGTGGGTGTGGTGAGGTTTACAAAGCTGAATTACCAGGAAGCAATGGCAAACTAATCGCCATAAAGAAAATCGTTCAACCTCCAAAGGACGCTGCTGAGTTAGCAGAAGAAGACAGCAAGCTTCTGCATAAGAAAATGAGGCAAATTAGGTCAGAAATCAACACGGTTGGCCAAATCAGACACCGAAATCTGTTGCCTCTTCTTGCACACGTGTCAAGGCCTGATTGCCACTACCTTGTCTACGAGTTCATGAAGAATGGAAGCTTGCAAGATACTCTAAGCAAAGTTGAAAGAGGTGAAGCTGAGTTGGATTGGTTGCAGCGCCACAAGATTGCTCTTGGTGTGGCTTCTGGACTTGAATACCTTCACCTGAATCACAGTCCTCGCATAATTCACAGAGATCTTAAGCCTGCGAATATTCTCCTTGATGATGACATGGAGGCTCGCATAGCTGATTTTGGACTCGCCAAGGCAATGCCGGATTACAAGACTCACATAACAACCTCAAATGTGGCGGGGACAGTGGGGTATATTGCTCCTGAGTATCATCAGATTCTTAAGTTCACTGATAAGTGTGATATATACAGCTTTGGGGTTATTCTTGGGGTGTTGGTCATTGGGAAGCTTCCTTCCGACGAGTTCTTTCAGCACACTGATGAGATGAGTTTGGTCAAGTGGATGAAGAAGGTCTTGAGTTCTGAGAATCCCAAGGAGGCAATTGATGCTAAGCTTCTTGAGAACGGGTTTGAGGAGCAGATGCTTCTGGTTTTGAAGATTGCGTGCTTCTGCACTATGGATGATCCCAAAGAGAGGCCTAACAGTAAGGATGTTAGGTGCATGTTGTCTCAGATCACGCACTGAATCACTTGGGTAATTACTCATAAGTATAATTTGTACCATATTTGTGCTATAGTTTGTGTTTAAGAATTTACATGATCAATGTTGGTTCATATAAGGTAAATAATGAAACCATGTAATATTGTTTTGTTTTCTTCATCACAGATTGCTGAATTTCCGGAAAACAGAAAAGAGAAAGAGAAATTAAGCACTGAGATGATCTATGTGTAATAATATAGCTTGTCACAAGTCACAACTAGCTTGCATTATGTATTTTTAAGAGTTGACCCTTAAAATAAAATGAATGTTGTTAACATTATTTGAGTACTGTTATTGTTAAAGATAGATAGATAAGCACAACATAATTATCATTCCACAATTCTACCACTGATGTATCTTCGTCAATTGAGCACTACAAGTTTTATATTATATATTTGATCCTGCAATAGAAGGGCTTCCAGGGATCCAAATTAAATTAAAAAGAAAGAATAAGGAAATCAATGGATATCTTTACTAAGTTGAAAATTTGGACAAAAAATGGAACACTGAACAGACACTTGAGCAATACCAGTCATACAATCATAATGAGCCTTCCATCATAAATATATTAGAAGGAAAACAGAAATTTAAATACATATATCTCTTCAAATGTTTTAGCAACCTTAAAAAAATGTGAGGAAGAATATTCACCTTTAAGAAGCTTCCGTGTAACTATTTTTTTTTAAAGACATTTCTTGTAAATTACCCAAATCATTACTGTTAGGCCCACTTTAGTAGTTTTCTACGACTAATAAATTCTGCCCTGAAAGACTACAATAGTGCCACAACAATTTCTGCGTCAACGGTCAAGAAGGTATACAATGTATATGCAAGTTGCAAATCAACGCATTCATGATCTGTAAGCTAGAACAAATGTGTTTCTCGTTTGAGATAGGTGGGCCTAGGACAAAATTTTATCATGATAAGCGAGTCATTTCTGCAATAATTCTAACAATCTGATTGTGTCAGAATCCCTTATGCAGAGGATCCAAGTAAGAAATGAAGGGAAAAACTGAACGAGAAATTCTTGGAAAATTAAGACAAAAAAAAAATATTCATAGCCAAATTTTTTTGGGAAAGAAGTATTACATGTTATATAAATTATTGCATGCATATCATCACTTTTACGTACCATATAATAAAACACAGCAACGTTAATCATACACTTAACTTTTTTATATTTTTCCTTTAGACTTGCTTTTTTACGTGTAAAGGACTAATGGGGAAACAGAGGAAAAGGAAAGACGAGTTTTTGTTATGGCAAAAAGCAGGTGTGAAAGGAAAGATATGAAAATAAGAACAAATTTTTGTTTGGGAAGCATATTGCCATAAAACGATGGACCACTTCTTCAAGCAGTGCTATTACTTTTCGATTCACACGGATGCAAGCAATTCTTCCACCTTATTAAGTGCATGTATAGATTTAAATTTATAATTTTAAGTTTGAATAAACTTCATTTTGCGAATTAACTTTGCAAAAACAATTCTCTTTTTACTTAATTTCAAGGTAAAATTGAGATAGAAACTCGTTTTACTTTGTGAATATTGACTGGGGCTTCCAACTGAAAATCAAACATAGCCTAATATTGTGCTATGCAATTTGAAAGACCCTGCATTTATTTAGCTTTTGTCTTTTCAAGCATTCTGTCGTGCCATGTTTGATATAATAAATGTTCTTTTTTTCTTCTTCTGAAATTTATGAACATGGATGTGGGTTTGGTTTTCGATTTGGGATAATATTGTTGTATAGTTTCCATTTGAAGTAGTAATTTCAAAATATTTGTTGTATAAAATTGCGGATGCAGTTATGAGCAACTTGAAACACCGAACAAATGTTAGTAAAATTCTTCTGAGACGTGTGATGACACTGACCTTAAGGATTTATTCGCGGGATACACGCAAGGTCGTCTCAAGAATTTGAGGAGCAGAACTGACAATTAAAAAATTTGAGAACTCAGAGAGAAGGAAGAGAGAAAGGTGTTTTTGGGGTAAGAAAATAAGTTTTGGAGTAAGAAAATAGTGTGCCGGAGGCCTCTATTTATAGAGTCAAAAAACCTAAAAAATCACATAATTAATCCGAAAATTAAAAAAAATAAATATGGTAATTAAAGGAAATTAATTCGGTAATTAAAAGAAAATTAATCTAAATTTGTAACGATAAGATATTAATGACAGAATCAAATTTGAATTTGAAATGTGAAAAACTGTCATTTTCAAATAAGGTTTCCTTAATAATTTAATGTACTCAAAATAAAAATATTTTCGGATCTCATTTTCTTTTGGAATATCATATATGTACAACAATCCCCCACATATTTCAAAAGAAAATACTTTATTTTTTATTGCATTAAAAATGAGAGATGAAGAAAAGAAACTAAGTTCTCATATTGGCTGTAATACATTGGACCTGGTGTAGCAAGTTATATGAACCAGTCCTAGATTGATAAGGCTTAACATACAGTGAGATTGGTGTAACAAACTATATGAACCAAAACACTTAATGTATATTAGCGGTTTTATCAATCATATTACACCCCCACAATTCTTGCCGTTATCACTATTTTGCGCTACTAGGCCATGTGCGTGCCCGGTATTCATGAGTGCTATAGAGATCTCGCCAAGATCTCATGCAAGTGGCCCCACTTAACACTCATATAGGTGATTTCATCAAGTGCATGCTGCAAATCATACATCACCTATAAGGGATATGAAAATCATTAAAAGTTTTATAATGTGTTAAGCTTTCTCATCATAAAGCTTAACAATAAAACTTATCCTCTCAGTAATGCAGCTCTAGCACTTTCACATATTTTAGGAAGAGACAAAAAAATATTAAAATTGATTAAAATCAATTTAGTGCTAGTAGAACTGACAAGTGACTTGTTTTTACCCATATGAACCTTATTCATGGGATCTCCAATCACAAAGGTTGGGTTACCATCACTTGTTTGTTTACAAGTGGCTTAATAAAGTCTCATTCCCCTCGATGTTTAATATAACAATATCTTCCTTAGGGATTTAAGTGATAAGATCAGCCGAATCCATTATTAACTTCACATAATGGATAAATTCAATCATTTTATATAAGCAATTGCTTTACCACATTATTTTCAATGTTATATTCCCAATGGAATATTTACTAAAAGGTTTTTCAACCACTCAACCTCATAATCAACCATATCAAGAGAAATAAACTCTAACTCAACAATTATTTAATTGGTTGATCTTAGAGTAATTGCACAACATCCAAGTGTAGTGACATAATCACGAATGGATTTTGTCTCAGTTTGATCAAAGATCAAATAATAATCATCATTGTATTTCTAATACAATAGAAAATACTTCATGTTGAATACCATCAATTTATGGTATCTTTTCAACATCTCATAGTATTAAAAATTATAATATGGATAATTTCACATTTCATTATTCAATTAAAATATTTAATCAATTAATATGCTAGATCAATACTAGCTATCTTCTCATAACGTGAAGTTTCTCACGTAATGTCATGTAGGTCAAACTCATATATAATCATGTATTACCTCGAAAGCAAATAACAAAAATATACTAGTAATCAAATCAAGTATATGATCACAAAAATATGAGGGAACTTTAAACCAATATCTCAAAACATATAGCAAATATGTTCAACATCATAAAGTAATGTACCCAAAGCTCATCATATATAATTATATTGGTGTTAAGGAGAGTTTCATCTCATTTATGAAAATTAATAACAATAATAAGGTGTATTAATAATTAAATATTCTCGTCATGAAGAAAATCTCAAATATTAATTGCCTACATCATTTCTCATATGATGTCTTGCAATTACTCTTCTCATCCTCTCATCACACCTCTTCTTTTCTCTTAAGTGATAGTATTTTTCACAATCATACTATACCACTAGTTATATCTGTCAAAGTTATATTGATCAACCTCCAATATTATATCAATACTTTATTTATTTTTATTTTATAAAAAAAATTACCTTTTGACTTTGCAACTAATTTTCGTAACAAATTTCATATTGTTTAATGTGGTTGTACTCACCGATCAATATACCCATTAAATCCAAAAATTACAAAATCCCAAAGAGATTTTCATGGACAACATAAGTCCTTAAGATTGTTGTATAAAATTGTGGACGCAGCTATGAGAAACCTGAAACACCGAACAAACGTTAGTAAAATTCTCCTGAGGCGTGTGATGGCACTAACCTTAAGGACTTATCCGCGGGATATGCGCAAGCCCCCCAGGATACAACAGGGTCTTCTCAAGAATTTGAGGAGCAGAACTGACAATTAGAAAATTTGAGAATTCAAAGAGAAGGAAGAGAGAAAGGTGTTTTTGGGTAAGAAAATAAGTTTTGGGATAAGAAAATAGTGTGTCAGAAGTCTCTATTTATAGAGTCAAAAAACCTAAAAAATCACGTAATTAATCCGGCAATTAAAGAAAATAAATCTGGTAATTAAAGTAAATTAATTCGGTAATTAAAAAAAAGTAATCTAAATTTGTAACAGTAAGATATTAATGATAGAATCAAATTTGAATTTGAAATGTGAAAAACTGTCATTTTCAAATAAAGTTTCCTTAATAATTTAATGGAATCAAAATAAAAATATTTTCGGATCTCATTTTTTTTTAGAATATCATATATGTCCAACAATATCAACTAGCCACGTTAAAATTGGCATAGTAAATAAGAACATGCATGCCTTTTGCTAATGGTCTCTTTTCCTATAGCTGAAATTAAAACAGTCTTGCTACTTTTTTCTGCAACTAAAGTGAGTCAGAAAGATCCAATAGTCACAAAGTGTGTTGAACTTAACCAATGGTTCTTGAACAGCAAAGCAATGATAGAAAAAAATCAACACATCACAAGACAAGAACATAAGAATTGCATCACTGCAATGTTAGGTTGTATTGCTAACAAGAGCATTGCAAAAGAAGAAATCGAATTGATCAAATGCATAACACAGGATCCTCCCTTTTCTGTTGTGCCTGTGCCATATTTTAACAATTAAGGGTAGCAGATCAAGAGGATAACATAACTATCGCCTTACCTTGCTTAGCAAAAAAAACTATCGCCTTACCTTGTGAGTTGTGACAGTCGTACTAATAAGGACATAGGACATTGATATGTAAAACAGACAACCGATAGTGTGGCATAAATAAATTATGATTGTTCCCGAGGATTTTAACCTTGATCGTATTAATTAATGTTTGTAAACTAAAATCTAGTAAGCAATAATCAAATGCATGCCTTCTCCAGTTGCTGA